GCTATTATTTTGTTATTACATGAATGTTTAAGCTTACCATTTATAACCTGTCTCAGAAGAGCTTCTTTACGAATGAAAAGACAACTGAGACCCACATGACTTAGGATATGGATACCCCCTTCGAACGGCTCTTGAAGAAGCCTCTGTTCTTACCTCTAGGCAAATTACTGATCCTTGATGCTCTTTGAACACTTTCAACTGCTCACCAGTGACAATATTCCACGTTCGAATGGTATAATCCGTGCTGCCAGAAAACAGCTCCCTGTTTGGTGCGTCAAGTATAAGGCATAAGACAGCCCCAGTGTGTCCCAGCAGAGTCTGGTAACAGCGCCCGCTGGACACCCACCAGACCTTAACAGTGCAGTCTGTGCTACCTGTCACCAGGAGGTCTCTGCTCACTTTCTCCTCCTCCTCCTCTTCCTCCTCCTCTTCCTCAAGAACATCCCTGGAGGAATAGTGAGCTAGAGTCAGGACACAGTTCCGATGACCCCGGAATTCCTGGATTTGTTTCTCCTTGTCCACACTCCAACAGCGGGCCGTCCTGTCATAGGAGCCGCTAAAGAGATAGTCTTTGGCAACCAGGATCCTGCAAAAAATGAAGTTTGTGTGTATGAACAGTATCATTCTATTTACATAACCATTTTTTGTCACAACTTCAGTGCCAAGCACCCTGAAGTTAGAAACAGTAACATGAACACAACATATATAACCCCAATTCAGCGTCACCGTTTAATACACATTATACGAACTTTTTTTTGTTTGATTTTTTGTTTTAAAAAAACAACAACAAACACTTCCCTGTTTCTACTTTTAAAATTGAGACGCCTTATTCAGGTACATCAATGCAGACATTTTTACACTATAGCATTGTAACTTTGGGCATTTGTGTTTTTCTAAAAATCTTTTCCAGCAGCACTATTATGTACTTTTCATAAGTTATATATACTAGTTAAGAGTTTGTTGTGGATTTTTTCTTAAAAAAAAAAACAAAACAAAACTCATTCTTGATAATTATTTATTAGTATTTCTTTACAAATAATTATTTATAAACTGACCTATGAAAATAGCTTGGAATTAAAATAACAAAAAAATAAAAAATTCCAGGAACCTGAACTGTAACTGACAGTGTGCAAAGATAATCATGATCATGATCAAATCATGATCAATCATGATCAAATAGAGAGAGTGCAGGAAAAAAAATATACACCTGATTTCACTTATCCCAGGATCTCAAAAAAGGTAGAGCAAGAGCACCCCACTTTTTACATAACTGAAGAGCAAATCGGAGATTACAGCTCAAGAATTCAACTTACTGGGCCTCCAAAATAATGAGTAGTAGCTGCACAAACATATAACAACAGAAAAATCTCTACAGTTCATACTTCCAAACCAGAGATAGGGAACATCAGAACCTGTCTTCTGTGTCAGCTGAATTTGGTCCTCTGGAACCTTTCAAACTGGCAACAAAGTCATATGAATAGGGAACACATTTCCCATTTGCTGATTCAAGCAAAAATCAGGCCAGTGCCAAAATAGAGACAGAGCCAGCCTTCCTAACTATTTACAGAATCTAGCTACACATCGTATGTGTTTTGAGTTTAGCAAGGAACAAAAAAACCCACCCACCCACCAAAAAAAAAAAAGTAAGAAAAGAATACCAATCTTTGACTATTTGTCATTAATTAAATCCAGTCCAACTATTAAGAGGCACTTTAAATTGACAGGCCAATCAGTCACACACAATCAGTTTAATACTAAACTTCATTTGCACAAACAGGAATAGTAATTCCAGAAAAAGCCCTGACTTTATCCCTTTTACTGACACAAAGGCTTGACGTGATGTTTTTAAATCTATTTATCAGAAGCATCTGTTATCAATTGAATAATTTCTTCTGGAATTTCATTCCTAGCCCTGGATTCAATTCCCCTGCTGTGTGGCTGTGTGCCTTTCATTTCTCTCCTATCTGCTGTCTATGGATGTGTCAGCACTGTTGCTAGGAAAACTAATCATTACAGCACAGAACACGTGTAGCATTAACTCAAAGGTTTACAGAACCCATTTTGTTAGTGTAGTAATGAAGAATTGCAGGAAAATGACAATATATGCGATAATAGATTACAGGAACACAAGGGAAGAACTCCATGGAACCAACCTGTTAACAATTGATGTGTGTCCTCGGTAAATGGCCAGGCACTGACCTGTCATCACATCCCACTTTCGAATGGTATGATCCGCACTACACGTGAAGGCAGCCTCATTTTCTAAGTGGCAAAAGGTGATGTAACTTTCATGTCCTAGGAGTAACAAAGGAAATAAATTCAATCACTGTGCATGCAAGCAGGACAGCCTAGTCGAGCTCTTCACCTTAACTAAAAGAAAAATACAACAAATGGACTGAAACTCTAGTTTTAAATGCACCACCATGTTCTTCACATTTAAGGATTTGTATAAAACACATCATTTTTCACTAACAGCAGAAAACTCTACTTCACTGATAGAAGAATTAAGTGAAAGAGTAAAACAGTGCAGTTCCACCAATCAGGTAGATCGAACAGGATTATAAAAACATAATGAGCTAAATCAATATCAGTATAATAAAACTCACAATACTGAAGTTTAAAACCAGTAAAAAATTGGCTCTTTTTTAATAAAGAAATGCTTTTGCTTCTTTCTTCTGAAGTCAGGAAAAAAGGGCTGCATTTTAACCCAGCCCATTGATTGTCAGGACACAAACAGACTTAAATTAAAGCACGAAACTATGAAAAAAGGAAGCAACATGAGACTTACCAGCAAGTTTAGTTTCATTGTCCAAGCAGAATGAAACGCAAACAAAAAAACATACCTGGTAAAAAGTCAGCCAATACTCTCCCCATTATGACTAATAACATGAATAAACCCCACAATTTTCAAAATATCAGTATACCTTTAAGGAAATAACACAGAAAGAAAGAATAAGAGCACAATTATTTATACAGTATTCGGAGTATGTTGGGATTCTACAGTTACAAGAAAAATAGACACAACCGCTACTCTAAAAATTTCATGCTGAAAAACAGGGTAATGCTAGCGAAGAGGAATCAATACTACAACCTTAAGCTTTTGTTGTTGCTTAGCAAGATGTGTCATTTTCCTATTGTATCATTTAATGCGCCGCATTTAAAAACCACCTTGGGATTCAAGTCCCAGCTTTTTCCCAGATCTCTTGTGTGAAGTTGTTGGGATAGTATTATCTTGCGCTCTTCTGTTTTAATTATTTAGACTGTAAGCTTTCAAGATCAGAACTGTGTCCTCTTAAGTAACCATCATAAGAGAGCCCCAGACTTTGGTTGAAGCTGGTGGGCCCTACTGTGATTTAAGTAAAGCTATTCTTTGAGGAGAAAAGAAAAAATATAAGAAGGGCAAATGTGATTAAAGAGAGACAGATGGACAAAGATATTAGAAAAACAGAATCATGTTGTAGAATAAAGAGATGGTATAAAAACTGAGGGAAAGCAGACTGCCCAGTAAAACACTTTGTTTCATTGACTGCAAAAAACAGATTTTACTACAACTCCTGTAGTTCAAAAGCCTTGCTGTAGTTCAAAAGCGAACCAGAATCCATGTTACAAACACACATCTTGTTTCCTCTTAAGCAAATTCACCAGATGCCAAAAATTAAACAGATCACCAGGGCTATAAGCAAAACTATACCCATCCTCACATTTTTGTGAAAACTTTTTGCAAAGCATTTTAAATGGGACAGGTTTCAACAACTGGGATTTTTCTCACAGCATCATGTAATCCTGCTCTAAGATGATCAAAAAAGCATCTTGGTTACTGCACGAAAGTCTGTCAGTTAGATTTTAACCATCAATAATACCGAAGCTACACAAAGGATGCCAAAAACCCCCTGTGGCAGACAAGGTCTGGTGCTGGTCTGGTCAAAAGCAGCCACCACAGAAGCCTGTCGGTTATGCTGTGGTGGAAGCTTGAAACTGTGTTACAGATACAGGTTTATCAGTAATTACAGCTTGCACGATACAAATTTACACAACAACTGTGTGCGTGCATAAATATAAAATACATACAGTTATCTGATCTGACTGACAGTTCACAAACCATCTAGCCAACCTTCTTTAAAGTTTACCCCAAACACTAGCAGTACATAGGCCAGATTCTGAATGTTATCCAATATATTTATCTTTCTAGTTAAAAGTTAATTGTGGTTTAAAGGGATTTCTAATTCTAAAGCAAATGCAGTGAGTTTTCCAGGAGCTAGAACCATGGCAGGATGTGGGGAAAAAAGACAATACTCCATAGTTAAAAACAAGCAAGAAAACAAACAAACAACAACGAAAATTACAGCAATGTGATTTCTTCTTTGGAAGAAAAAAGGATCAAAAATTCCAAATTTAAGAGCTTTTTTTTTTCTTGTATTAAGAGCAAAGAACATGAGTGAGTGAGAATGAGTGTGTGGACACCTTTAGTCCACATCTGACTCCTGCATGACTGTACTTTCTACAGAGTTTTTCTTTTCTTTTTAATTATTGAGATGATAGTCTAAGGATAATAAATTTTGTTTAAAATGCAAATCAATTTAAAATGAGAAAGCCCAGCAATTAACATTCCTGTGCGTCAAATGTGGGGAAGAAAATAGCCTATTTAGTAAGGTTTCTTTCCAGACTTCTAGGTCAAGAGGTTCTAAATACTGTCTGGAAAATGAGATGATTAAACAGACACAAAAAAAAGGGGGGGGGGGGAGAAAAAAGAAAAAAGAAATGAGAGAGAGACAATAACAAAAAGTCCAGATTTCATCAGGGTGTAAAACAGAGGGCTTCTGGAAAGAGACATAAGTTAAACAACTGCTATGTTCCACACCCTGAGATAAAAGGATCCATGCATTCAGTAGCACTGGTAACCTGTTTTGGGTTGAAACAGCTTCTGCTTAACATTACTGTAACCAATACTCAAAAAAAAACACAAAACAAAACAAGCATGATTTTGGCTGCCCAGCAGGCTGCAGTGACTGAAAGAGACCAGAACATGCTGTGTGGCCTGTGCCAGGCTTTAGACTCAGAAACTAGGCAAAAAGACGCCATTGTACCTTGGAAGTGGCCATGGCACTGGCTGTCGGCAGTGCTCCAGAGCCGCGCAGTGCCATCCTCACTACCCGTGAGCAGGCGCTGCCCATCCGGGCTCAGGCTCAGCCAGTTGATGCCTCCTTGGTGATCTGTGCAGACCTTCACAGCTGAGCCACTGTTCCCCATCCTGCTGGTCCCAGCGAAGGCAGAGGCTGCGGGTCAGATCATAGGCGCTGCGCAACCTCCAGACCGTGCTCTGGGCCTCCAGCCGTCTCCCACCGACCAACTTCAGCCATTACCTCAGCTCCGAAAAATCATCAGGGTAGTTCAGACTCCTGCACAGGGACACAGAGGACGAAGAGGAGGGCACGTTAAATCATTTCATCTCCCCCGTGGATACATCACTTTCTCAGTCAGGATGAGCTGAAGCCATCGAGTGCCCCTTTCTCCGCAGGAACCGAAGCCCTACCGCGGAAGACAGCCTTTCAACCACACGCTCACTGGCGTGCCTTCTCCGTGGGCACAGAGGTTCATCCAGCCCCTTGGACAGGACCCAACCTGGACGGCGGCGGTACCGCTACCTGGTGCCCTGCGCTGAGGCTGCCAGCACGCTGCTTCTTTTCAAGCAATCTCAAGGCTAACTTGGGGCACGCTGAAGAGGCGGCGCCTCCGAAAGAGGGAAGCCCAGCCTCAGGCGGCCCCCACCCCCCCGAGGGGCCGCACGCCCCCTCCTCCGGCCGCCGCGGGATCACCTCAGCGGCCCCCAGCCCTCTCCGCCCCGGGCTGCCGCCATCCCTCCCACACGGCCCCACGGCATCTCCGCCCTCGGCACTTACTCATCGCCCCGGACACGGCCCCGGGTGGAGGCGCGGGGCTCGTCTCCGGCAGGACGATCCC